GGTGGGGGGTGGGGAGAATGGGCCAAACAGGCGGGTGAGATTCGCTCAGGCGGACTCAGCCTCCCACTTCTCCCCGCTCTGCCCGCTTCCAGGCAGCTCTTCACGACCCCCGGCTACAAGGAACGCACCAAAGGCCAGCAGATGGTGATGGTCGGCTATTCTGACTCTGCCAAGGACCCACGGAAAGGAAGAGGGAGCAAGGAGGAGGAGCAGCAGGAAAAGAAGATATAAAGTGTAGAGGTTTGGTCTGGAGGAGTGATAGGGGGGGAGGAGGGAGGGGGAGCAGGGAGCAGGGAGAGAGCAGGAGGTGGAGGGGGGGGGGCACGAAGAGAGGGGGGGGGAACACTGAACCTCCCCTGGCGGCATGCAGGACGCGGGGCGGATCGCGGCCATGTGGGCGCAGTACACGTCGCAGGAGAAGATGCTGGCGGTGGCCAAGGAGCCGGGCTCCCGTGCCCCGCCGCAGAGGCCGTCGGCGTCGGGGATCGAGAGGGATCGAGGCTGGAGGAGGCAGAGGAGGAGCGTCGAGGTTCGAGGAGGATCGATGCCCGATGGGGATCGAGGCTCGAGGTTCGAGGGGGAGGGCGGGGCGAAGCTCGAGGAGGACCCAGGTTCCAGGTTCGAGGACGGGGAGGGTCGAGGAGGAGGAGGCGGAGGGGGAGGAGGAGGAGTTCGAGGATGATCTAGGTTCGAGGTTCGAGGCTCGAGGAGGAGGAGGAGGAGGAGGAGGAGGGAGAGGAGGAGGAGGGGGAGGGAGGAGGATCGGCCCTCCCTGACCCCACGAGCGGCTCGCGGCGGCAGCGCGGAGGCGGGCGCCCTTCCGAGAGAGGTGATCTCGGGCAGTCGCCTCGCCTTCTCAGCCGTGAGCGTGGGAGGTGCCTGCCCGCACCAGGCCCGTGCGGTCATGATGCCGTCGTCGGCGGCGGGCCCAGGGGGGGAAGTGAGGAGGGGGCGGGTCTTCTCGGGAGGCTCGGAAGGCCTCGTGGCCTCTTGCTGAGAGGTTTCCGAAGCCTTCTCCGAAGACGGATACCATTAGGTAAGTCAGGCTTGTCCCTCTACAGTAGAATATTCAATGATACTGGAGGACAAGTCCAATGGGGCTATAGGGCTAATGGGCTATAAGGCTATAGGGCTATAGGTCGATTGGGCTATAGGGCTTTAGGGCTATAGGGCCTATAGGGCTATAGGGCTACAGAGCTATTGGGGTATTGCGCTATTGGGCTATGGGGCTATATGGCTATTCGGCTATATGGGGTATAGGGCTATTAGGGCTATAGTGCTATAGGGCTGTAGGCCTATAGGACTATAAGGCTGTATGTAGGGCTATAAGGCTATAAAACTATAGGGCTACCGGGCACCCGGGCACCCTGGCACCCCCGGGCACCCAGGCACCCATGCACCCAGGCCCGCCACCGAAATCGGCGGCACCTCCCCTAACTATATGAATGCGCTAGGACCCCTACAGAGGCAAGTTCTGATTAGGGAAAAGTAATCAAATAATGGTCTGGGGACTATGTTTTGATTATTTTCATAATTTTTAGCTGGTTTATGATTATAACTTTCGCCCAAAATTCACCTGTAGGGGGGCAGGCCCGACCTAAGGATATCGCTATTCAGAAGGCGTGGGAGTTCCTGAGAAGTCCTGCCTTCTGGAAGGGCTTGTCCCCTCTCACTTGCCTTCGCGCTCGCCGCCGACGTCGGGCGCTGTTTCAGCTCAACACTGACTCTGTCAGTCAACGAGAGCTGTCTGCGAGCGGGAAACCCAGAGGAACAAAAAAGTAATGATAATGGTACTGGAATGTTGTAAGGTTCCCGGGATTTCCCAGATCGTATCTATCTTATTGTTCTTCGCAGGCTCCAATAACGAGAGCGGCCAGGTACTCCGTCAGAAATCTTGGAACGCATCCTGGGCCAATCCTATCATTACAGAGTTCCCGTCCTGGAGACACCTATAACCACGGAGTCGCGGGCTGGGCATTGGGCCTTTTGGTGTCGCGGACCAGTCCTGTTTGCGGATGCCCCGCGCGGAGCGTAAGCCAGGCGACCGCGTCGTGTGATCGCGTTCTAGCTTCCAGACCACGAGGGCGTGGATATGGATTGTTCGCCGCTCGTGAGTCTTGACTCGCGGGCGATGTTTCTCCCCCAATCCCCGAGTTTCGCCCGAAAAGTCTGGCCGCTCAGAAGAATGGGAAAACCCTGGGATACACCCCAAGGGGGCTATTCGGACGCACCCCTATCGAGGATGGGCACCCCCCCATCGTATATCCCAGGGTTGGGCCCCAAATTTCTGGTCCATGCGGAAACCCCACGAAGCCTGGGATAGGGGTCGACGTATCCCTTGTTACTTGACGTGGCCCCAGCAGTCGAAGATGAAGCACATTTGTCAGGCAGCGGCCGCAAGAGGATCACAGACGGCGGTCGAGCGGTGGCGAGCGGCGCGCCGGAGCACAGCGAGGCACGGCGCGAGGACCGGCCGGAGACGCCGAACGGGGCCAGGGTTAATCGGGAGCCTTGAGACGGGGGTCAGTGCAGACGGGGGTCAGCCAGAGCACCGGATCTTGCAGGATCCTGCAGCGCCAGGGTCGCATTGACCCGGGTTTGGGTGCAGGATCCTGCAGGATCCTGCAGGATCCTTCGCATTGACCCGGGTTTGGGTGCAGGATCTTGCAGGATTGTGTAGGCCTGATTGACCCGGGTCTGGATTGACCCGGGTCAGAAGATCCCCAAGTTAAGTCGGGCCTGTCTTTTGCAGGCGGATTTTGGAACGATCAGTTCAAATATGGTCAAGACATGCCCAAAGGGAAGTTCGAAACACTGAACACAACATCGTCCCCAGACTATGGTTTGACTATTTTGGAGTATCCCTCCTATGGAGGGGCAGGCCCGACCTCAGGGCAGGGAACCACGCTTGGGCCACGTAGGGTCGTCGTGTGCACGGCGAGGTGCAGGGCCGTGAAGTGCGCAGCGAGCACAGAGGGCGGGGCCGCACGCGGAGCCGCGGGGAAGCCCCGGCCAGGGCGAGGGAGCGAGCATCGTCGCCAATCACCAAGGGCGGAAAAGAAGGGGGGTGATGACTAGGGGGGGGGTATCATGGCGCGGGTCATGAGATTTCCGCTGATTTCATGGCGCCTCTTCTTATTTTATTACGTCCCTGGTCCCCCCCGCTGGGCCGCGCACATGCCGCCGGTCATGAGTTGCACCCCCCCCTCTTGGACACCCCCCTCTTGGCCGCTCCCGACAATCAAGTCGAAGCAAATCCAGGTGGGAGCGTCCCCCTCGGAAACCAGCCAGGAATCAGAGTTGGAGAAGGCACCCACACCTCTACGTTTCGCCTGTTTTTCCCCCTGTTTGGGGCCTCCTGGGCGGCCCTCATCGCCACCGTTGGATTCGCCGCGAGATCCTGGTCAGGACGCACCCCCCGGGAGAGGTCCTGGGAGTAGCGGTATCGGTACCTTGTTCTTTTTCCCAAGGAAGGCTGAGGAGTCGAGCAATTTTCTCGAGGCCTGAAGCGCGAGAGGCGCGCGGAAATCGGGCGGCGACGGGGGACCAGCTGAGAGCGGACCGCGAGGGCGGGGCCAGCAGGCCGAGACGCGTCGCGGGAGGGTCTAGGACAGCATGACCATCGGCGGGTGGGGGACCAGCGAGTCGGGGCTGGACAGAACCCCCAATAGTGACACGCCGATTAGTGAATTGTCCGTTTTCGGTTCTCGAGAGGGCGCCGTGGCCGTCAGTTTCCAGGCTTTCGCCCGCCAGATTTGGGCCCGAGGTCGTTTTCACTAAACCACGTTTTGCTAAAGGGGGTTCAGTCCATCCCCGAGCGAGGTGTCGTCGACCTTGCCGAAGAGCATCGGAGAAGAACAGATTGCATGAACAGAAGCTTGTGGCGCTCCGCGCGGAGTTCTTGGATCCGTGCTGAGCCCCCTTCTGCGGCGCCTCCGGCGCCGCCTCTGGCGCGCTCCGCGCGTCCAGCGCGGTTCCGAGAAGTTCGCGCGGAGCGCCAAAAGTTTCATGTTTATGCCGTTTTTCTTGCTTCTCCATCGACGGGTGGGGGACCACATCGAGGTGTCGTCGACCTTGCCGAAGGGCAGCATCCGAAGCCCAGCGCCCGGCCTCGCCGCGCAGCGCAGGCGGCTCGCAGCCTGCGACGCGAGAATTGGCGGGGCGCCGTCGCTGTTGGCGGCGCCGGCGGAGGGGGGGAGGGGGAGGAGGGAGAGGCAAGCTAGGTGCGCTCGCGTCATATCTGACGTCCTACCCCTCCCTCCCATCCCTTACCATGGCGCTGATTTTCTCTATCCGCGGACGCGTGTCGTAGCGGACCTGTGGCTCCGCGCGCGCGCGTGCGTAGTGGGTGGTGGTGCACGTGCGTGCGTGCGTGCGTGTGTGCGTGGTTGTGTGGTGGTGGTGGTGGTGGTGGTGGTGGTGGTGGTGGTGGTGGTGGTGGTGGTGGGTGGTGGTGGTGGTGGGTGGTGGTGGTGTGGTACTGGTGCTGGTGCTGGTGGTGGTTGGTGGTGGTGGTGGTGGTGGTGGTGGTGGTGGTGGTGGTGGTGGTGGTGGTGGTGGTGGTGGTGGTGGTGGTGGTGGTGGTGGTGGTGGTGCGGCGCGGTGGTGGCGGGCGGATGGGCGCGCGAGAAAAAGGCCCGCGCTGGGGCGAGAATGCCATCCTGAACGACGGAGGCCAAACACCGATCCGAAAATGAGGCCCACGCTGCAGCGGGAGCACGATTCGGAACGATTCGGGAGCAGAAATGAGGCCGGCGCCTTAACGAGAGCAGCATGTTGGGAAACAGTGACGCCGGCGCCTCAGCGAGAGTCGTTTCCCGGGATTTCCCGGGCATCCTGTGTGTTAAAAAACAGTACGCGGAGGGTGCGCGGCCATCACCCGGACGCCATCAGGGGAAGAGGGAGAGTATTTTCATATTGAGTAATTGTGAAGCAGAAGCAGTCGATTAGACGTACGAGTGACCTTTCGCCAAAGTGACCTGTGGTGCGGGCCCAATGGGGCCCCCCGATCGTCGATCGCGATGCAGTAGTGGCGTCTTGCGCGCTTGTGTTGGGCGCCCCCGCGACCCCCAAAAAGCCACGCACCAACGATCACTCTTACCCAGGGTCACCCTTGCGTGTAGCCTTACGTCGGGCCTGTCCCTCCACAGGAGGAGTATTCCGAAATAGTCAAAAAATAGGCGGGGGACGTTTGTGTAAGTATTTTTGAGCTTTCTTGCTTTTTCCCCCGAAATCCCCCTGCACGGGGACAGGCCGGACCTAACCCTTGCATGTAGCCGAAGCAGGCAGGAGAGTTGGGCGATGGGCCCAGCGAGGCGCACCCCAGGGGTGCAACAGATCGCGTGCAGCGTGGAAGCGAGAGCCAAGTTTACGTCGGGCATGTCCTTCTGCTGGGGGAGTATTCAGAAATAGTGAGAAAAAAAAGCCGTGGAGTGTGAT